TCGAAGGCAGAGAAACGCGCAAGGAGTTCAGGCTTGGGCACCTTTAGGGCCCCCGCAGGCCGGAACAGCAAAAGGCGGGGCAGGAACAAGAGCAGCCGCCGGGGACCGTGGTGCATCAGGTGCATCGGCAGTGGAGGCATCGCGGACAAGTTTGAGGGAGAGTTTAAGGGCGCGGCGCAAGCTGAGGTTTGCAAAAAGGGGGCGGGCTGCAGAACAAACTGCAGGGCTGCAGGAGGACGTCCTCGGCATCGAAAGGGTCAAGACTAGCGAGGGCGGCCTGGAGCCGCGGACCGTGCAGATGGTCGGCAGGCACAGGGGCGGTACTGGGTTGGGTGTCAACGTCGCCTGGTTGGTGGGATGCAGTTGCAGGCTGTGCAGGCGGCTCCTCAGAGGGTCTGCGGTTGGTAGTGGAGGAGGTGCTAGACGAGGTGATGGACGAGCTGGAGCTCGCAGAGCGGCCGCGTCCACGTGCAGGACGCATCTGTGCGGGAGGGGTGCTTGCAGCGGGCACGGAGGGGCGGCAGGGGCAGGAGCCGGCAAGCGGTTTTGGTGCGAGGCCGTCACCTTTTGTAGCAAAGAAGCCGCCGCCCGCTCTCCCAGGTACGCGTGCAGCAACACCTCTTGGGCAGAGGCCGGGATATAGCCGTCAGGCAGTGCAGCAAAGCGCCAGGCCCAAGGCAGGTGCACGAGGGTGTTGCTTGGCAAGCAGGTTGGACTCGGCAGCAAGCGCGAGCAGCAGCTGCGCCTCCGGCGCAGGCAGTGCTCGCCCCTCTTCGAAGGCGAGCTGTTGCAATGTATGCAATGAGTGCACCAGGGCCTGTGGTTCGACTGGTGGTGCTTGGCGCAAAAGTGCACGGTTTCGTTGCCACAAGAGGCTATACAAAGGATGAGCTTCCCACCTGGCCAGTGCGGCAGGGTGAAGACGGCCGACGGCAGCATGTAGCAAGGGAACGGAAAGCCAGCTGTGTGTGCGTTGCAGGGCTGGTGTGTCGGGGGGACCTTGCTTAAACCATGCAGCATCAGCGAGTGGAGCTGCGGCAGGTGTAGGAGCGGCCTGGGGCGCGGCAGCAGGCACGTCGGGTAGTGGAAGGCGTTGGCCAGGGCATGGCAGAACCTGCGGCGGGGAGCTTCGGCAACACACCCATCCTCGGCTGTACTCGCGCATGTCGACTGCGAGTCTGCGGGGCCCATGCGCCGGGCACACGGGGGGGCTCTCTGGGACGGCTTGCAAGAGAGGATGGTTTTCGTCGACCGAGGCATTTGCAGCGCATGCAGACCCACTCCGGTGCCCATCGGCCGCTTTGGCGCTGGCGGGTGAGGGCCCACTGCACATGGCGATCCGGCAGTTCTTGCCAAGCTGCATCAGATGTGGCGCGCGCCGAGTCTGCCAAGAAGATGCGTGGGCAGCAAAACGGCAAGATGTTCGGGAGGGCGCGGTGCCGTGGTTCATGGTAGCGGCGTGACGTGGTGTCGTAGTCAGGAGCTGGCCGTGGCGCACAAACACCGTGCACTCGGCAGGCTGTGGTGAAACTCTCCGCGGCCTCAGGCGGCCATGAGGCCCGACAGGTTGGGCAACGCAAATCTCTGACATTCGTGGTAAGGTGAGCGACACACCCCAAGTGCAGTGCATGGCCGCAGCGTGGCCAGAGGAACGGCGTCTCCGGGCTTCAGGGTGCGCCGGAAACTCGCACAGACAGACTGGGCACGCGTCGATAGACGGGCAGGCCGGCGGCGACGGCGCGTTTCCACCCAGCAGCCAGTCAGGTGTGGAAGGTGCCGCAGGCGGCGTGCACCCCTCCGGAGAAGAAGGTACGAAGTTGGCTAGTGTGGCTCGCGAGTGTGCGGGGGCAGGCGCCAACGGCGTGGCATCCGGTGAGTAGTCAGGTGGCGTCTCAGCCATATGGGACAGGGCGCTAGAACCCAAGGACAACCTACACCCCACAAAGGCCAAAGAGGAACCCACACAGAAAAGAACCAAACTCTACCCGCAGGGTCGCCCGGGCGGGACCGGGGGGTCAAAGCAGCAAGGGAAGTCGGTTGGGGCAGTTCGGCAAAACAGGGAGTTTTTTTTCTGGAACAGCGCGAAGAAGATTCGTTTTTTCCCCTGGGACTTGGGAGGGCGGTGGACGCTTCGTCAAGCGCGGGGGTCAGATCAGCGAGGAGGGCATCGTCAACAACCTTGGAGGCTGCTCGCTGCCAGCCGCGAGCGAGGTCGGCAGGCTCGTGAAGCGCGGGATCGGCCTCGGCCCCGGCAGGTGGTTGAGCTCGCCCCAGTCTGGCACGCTCAGACCGTGGTTGGTCAGGACGACGGCGGCACCTTGCAGCGATGCGCAGCGGCGGACCTGCGAGTTGCTGCAGGATGTCCTCAAAAAAAATGCTTTCGCGGGTTCTGATTGCGCGAAGTGAATCGGCCCAGCAAGCAAAATAGGCTGCGGGGGCGTGCGCCGCGGCACTGCGGAGGCCGAGACCCCCGTGGCGCAGCGGCACATGAGCCCGGCGGAGAGCGAGGTTGGGGGTGGTTGCACAAGGCAGCGGGTCATCTGCAGCAGCTTGGACCTGCAGCAATTGGATCGCTAAGCTCGTCCCCCGGGCCGCGCGGCGGTTTCACCTCGCCGGAATGCTGCCGCCCTCGCACGGAGTGTGCCCGGCCTTGCAAGTCTTGTTACTCCGGCCATGCGACCGCATGCACGGGACAAGTACAAAGAGTTTCCTTTTTTTACACGCACCTTTTTACCAAAGGTCGAAGCGGTCCCAGT